GTCCCTGAGTCCAGAGGTTTTGGGGCTCTGCTTTTAGCTGTCCCTTTTTCTGGGGAGAATTCCCCAAGGGCCTTCCACAGCTCAGTCTTGGCTCTGGCATCCACCTCTTTTCTTGGTTCTCTGAGCATCCACCGTACCCCACCCCTTCATCTCCCTCCCCTTGTACACAATTACGAGTTCAGCTGGAATGAAGAGATAACGTCTGACCAGGGCTGGATGGAGCTGGGTAGCTGAAAGGGTGGAGAGAGCCAGAGCATAGCTCCCTCTGAGAGCTGCTGAAGGTGCCAGAGACATAACCCCTTCCCACCCCCTGCCTCCATCTCTTGAAAGAAAACACTGAGGGGGTCTGAGGTGGTTAGAAATATCTTTGTGCATGGGAAAGGCTTCTTGTTACAGGAACATTTTAAAGAAAGCTGGACACCCTGATCTCACTGGAAGGGTTAGTGTGCTTAAGACATTGATGTCACTAATTCAATAGTGACCTTGGACACACATTGCACTTCCCCTCTCTTGTGGGTCTCAATTTTCTTGTCTATAAAAGGGGGAGGGGACCAGAAGGTCTCTAAGATTTTTACTAGTTTGGACATTCTGTGTTCTAACATGCTGTCTTAGGGTCCCTAGAGGTGCAGTGGATAGAGTGCTGGGCCTAGAGTCAGGAATATTTGAGTTAAAATCCAGCCTCAGCCATTTAACTAGCTGTGTGACTCTGGCTAAGTCACTTAATCTCCATCTGCCTCAATTTCCTCATCTGTAGAAATAAGGAATGATAATAGCACCTACCTCCCAGGGTTGTTGTGAGGGTCAATTGAGATAAAATTTGTAAAGTGCTTAGCACAGTGCCTGGAATATAGTTGGCACTCCATAAATGCTAATTTCCTTCTGGCTCTGAAGCTCTGTGTTTTAAGACTCCATTCCAACTCCAACATTCCATTCCAAGCGCTACCCCCTCTTCCACTTCCGCCATTCTAATCTGGGACTGAATCTAAGGGTGATACTGTGGAAAGAGCCCTGATTCCAACTCAGAGAACCTGAGGTTGTGTTTTGGCTCCTCCCCTTACTACCCATGTGACCTTGGGCAAATTGAGGTACTGGGGGTAAGGGTTGGGGGTTATCTGTAAAATCAGGTAGCTGACACCTAAGATACCTTCTAGCTCTAAATACGTGATCCTGGGATCCTCTGACACGGCAGAGAATGTGTGCAGAGCCAACCTACAATATAGCAAGGCCCCACCTAAACCCTGTGCTATGAGCAAAGTAGGAACACAGCTAGCCAAGCTGAAAGGACTGGGACCTTGTCCGTGACCTTGAACCTGACCACACTGAGAAAGCTTCCCTGGAACGTGGCTCAGGAGACTCTGTTCTCTCCTGCAGGCGCCTGGCCTGAGGCCTCCTGGGAAGGATGGAGTAGGCAGTGGTCCAGTCCCCATGCTGAGAGGGAGGCAGACAGAGAGGCCGCCACATCAGAGGACTGGGGTTTGCAGGACCTGCAGCGGGGTCTGAGGTGGGGGGATTTGTGGCATTGAGATGAGCAGAGCGGGGCTGGGCCCAGACTTTTGACCTTGAAATGGGGGAAAGCAAGAGAAAAATGGTCTCCTGGAAGAGAGATTATCCTTTTAGGAAGTTAGGATCATGAAATAAGAAGTTTATTTCATAGGATATCAACTACTCAAGCTGGAACAGACTACAGATTGAAGTCACCCTCTTTCCAGATAAGAAATAACTCACATCAAGATTCTTCTTACAACTCTGTGTGTGAAATAGGTAGAACAAGGTGCAATGCCCCCATTTTACAGAGGGGGAAACTGAGGTTTAGAGATACTCTATGACTTGCTCAAGGTCACAAAACAAGTTAGTGACAATAGATGACATATAATAATAATAATAATAATATAATAATAATAATAATAATAATAATAATAGCTAGCATTTATACAGCACTTTAAGGTTTGCAAGTGCTTTGCTAATAATATCTTTCTTGATCCTCACAACAACTCTGGGAGGTAGGTGCTGTTATTATCCCCATTTTACAGATGAGGAAACCAAGGTAGTAAAAAATCAAGTGACTTGCCCAAGGCCACATAGCTAAGAGGTATCTGAGGCAGCATCTGAACTCAGATCTTCTAAAGAACATAAATTATCTTCCATCTTGCCTTGTCTTTCCTCTTTTGTAATTTTTGCATCTATTCAATTAATTCTTTCAGTGGGGATACAGATAGAACTGGGGGGATGATTTCTTTTTTTTTTTTTTGCTAGGCAATGGGGTTAAGTGACTTGCCCAGGGTCACACAGCTAGTAAGTGTCAAGTGTGAGAGGCCACATTTGAACTCAGGTCTTCCTGACTCTAAGGCCAGTGCTCTATCTACTGTGACACCTAGCTGCCCTTGAACTCAGATCTTCTTAACTGTAGGTCCCATGCTTTATCGACTGAGCCTCCCAGGTGCCTTTCAAAATTCAAAATTTGCAAAGCACTTTCCACGCTTATTTCATCTCATCCTTATAAACAACCTCCTGAGGTGCAGCAGACAACACAGGTATTATTCCCATTTTATAGGTCAGGAAACTGAGGCTGAATGAGATCAAGTGACTGGCCCATGGCCACACAACTAGAAAAGATAAAAGATAGGATTTGAACCCAGACCTTCTTGGCTTCAAGTCCAGCACTTTACCCACAATGCCAGGCTGTTTGTAAAACTCAGATATTTCAAGAGCCACCTGAAAGCTAGACTAGATGTTTAGCACCATGACTTGGCTTCCTAGGGATAAACTAAGCCAGCTTTTGATTATCTGGATGATAGATTTAGATCTGGGAGGAAACAAGATTATTTAGTTTAATCCTCTCGTTTTACAGATGAGGAAATTGAGGTCCAGAGAAAGAAACAGACTTGTCCAAGGCTGTATAGATAGTAAGTGAATGAACTATAGTTTGAGTCCTTGTTTTCTGACTCAAGATCTAACACTTTCTTCACTACACCTAGAACATGAAGGCAACATGGTGTAATGGAGAGAATCCTGGCTCCCAGCCAACCAGTCATCCAGCACCAGGGTCCAACCAGTTCTGGAATCTGGCAATCTGCCCTGTTGGCTTATATGGAAACCCCAACCTTCCCTCCCCACAGACCCTTTTCACCTCTTTCTCAGGGAACAGCACATGTTTAATAATCAAATCAATATTACTATGGTTACTGGAAGGGACATGACAATCTAGTGCCCTAGGCTCCCTTTACAATCCCTGGGATTACCTAGACTTAAGTTCCCTTCCCTGATCACCATTCCTCATTATGTGTTGTATCCTCTACTACAATGTTAGCTCCTTGAGGGCAGAAATTATCTCACTTATAGATTCATATCCCCTGGCCCAGACACTTTCCCTAATCTGGGCCTCAATATTCTCATGTATTAAACGGGAGAGATTAATCCAAGCCCTAGATACCTCAGAGAGTGATTGTGAGAAGCAAATGACACAACAGATGTAGAAGGGTTTGGAAAAATTAAAAACCCTCTAAAAATGTATCATTGTTACTACTAGACTCACCAGGTCTGAAGCACGTCTGATTATAGCTTATCTTGATTGATTATTGCTCTCTTTTCATTCTATAATTCACTTATCCTCCCAACTAGACTGTAAGCTCCCTGGAGATAGAAGCCCATATCTTTTCTTTTTGTCTTCTCACAAGATAGGGCAGGGAATAGGAATGGATGGATAGATGGATGAATGGATAGAAGGATGGAAGGATGGAGAGAGGGATAGCATGGATGGATGGAAGGAGGGATAGATGGATGGAAGAATAGAGAGAGGGATAGGATGGATGGAGGGAGGGAGAGATGGAAGGGTAGAGGGAGAGAGAGAGGAAGAAAGGGAATGGATGGATGGGTAGAGGGTTGTTGTTTGTACTTTGTTCTTGAAAAGGACCAATGACATCAGGAGGGTGATATTTTGACTTGCAAGTGAATTGGATTTAAGTGAGGCAGAACTGTGCAAAGTCATCAGCCTCATTCTCATGGAAGGAGGGATATTGGAAGGGAGAGAGGGAGGGATGAAGATAAGCAATATGAAAAGAGTTCTGGCCTTGATGTCAAGAGGTTCTGAGTTTGAATCTTGGCTCTCCTATTAATTAGTTATGTGATCATAAGTAGGTCTCATCCTGTCTCTATGCCTTGGTCTCTTCATCAGCAAAATGGGGATAACTCCTATAATACCTACATCATAGAACTCTAAATGCACTCTCTTTATGCCTTAGCCTCACAGAATCCCACTATTCCATTAAGATGCAACTCAAGTACCATCTTTTTCATGAAAGCCTTTCCTGATCCTCCCTCCCCCCCCCCATATTGAAGGGCAGTTGGCCTAAGGGGGGACTTCACTAGGTTGACTGGCTGCCTTCCTGCCCCTTCCTGCAAAAAAAGAAAAAAAACCCTCAGGAGGCTCATTCCTTCCCCAGGCTTTTACCCCGAAGAAATAGCCACAGCTGCCTTTTCTCTTCTCTGGCCTTCTCTTTATGGCCATTGACAACTTTTCACAGAATTATAGGATTTAGAGATGGAAGGAACAGAGATTGTCAAATCAAACCAAGGAGGAAACTGAGGCCCACAAGAGTAAGCAGAAGAGCTGAGATTTGAACCCAGGCCTTGTGACTCACAATTCAGCATTCTTTCCACCGCACTCACAAGGCTGTTTCCTGGGTGGTCCCTACAGAACTGGAGTCAGATCAAGTTGTCCTTACCAGGATTTAATTAGAAAGTGGTTAGCACAAATTGTCCCAGCCTCTTCTCACACTTCCCAGCACACTGTGGACCCCTTGAAGGCCTGGCTCTGAATTACTGTGGGGGAAGGGGTAAGGCCAAGCTGGGAAAGAGAAGAAGTGGGGAGAGTATGGTCCTGAAGGCACAGCAAGGGGGAGAGTGTGGAGGAGGGGAGGGATATAAAGCATGTCGGAGTAACTGGAAACTTTGGTGTGCCATTGGCAAAGATTTTTCCTTCCACCCCCATTTCTCTCTTTAAGGTGCCACCCCACCTTCCACCTCCTGCTCTCCTCAAACCCAGGCAAAGCCTCCAGAGTTTCCCAGAAACTGAGAAAAGGTGAGTCTTCCCCTCATCCTCAGCCCATTCTCAGGTCTGAGATTCCAAGGGTTGGGTAGGAAACCTTCAGTGGAAGAAAGGGTTGAAGGTTTAGATGGATGACAAAGCCCATTTAAAGGAGTCTGATCCTGTCCCACTGAAGAGAGAGAGCTGTGATCAATAACCCAGAGGGAAGGTCTCACCAACATATAGAATGGGGTTCAAGTCCAGAGATGTATCTAACAATTTCCGTGCCTGGGGTAAGGGATAGGAGAGATTGGGATTGGGGCATGGGGAGCTGGCTAAGGGTGTGGCCCAGGGGAAGCTAGCCCCTAGACTGGTAGATGGAAAGGACAGAAGAAGGCCATGGGGAGAGGGGAGGGCTGGGGGTGCAGCCAGAGGGAGGAACCCACCCCAGGACACTGGGAGATTTCAATTATGTCCAAGAAAGAAGTCAGGGCCAAGGCCAGAGGAAGATTGCTGTTCTAGGGCAATCTCTAACGGTTCCCTTCTAGCTCTGGCTCTGGGGGGAGTCCAAGAAGGGATCCCAGGCTCTCCTGACAACCTCCCAATGCTGGGTCAGACTGACATTTCTCTAGATGTCTGTTCTTGTGAAGTGCAAATATCCTGATGGCTGAATGCTTTCCTATAGGGCAGTAACTTTTCCGTATAGGCCACCCATAAGAGTTGCCCCAGTGAAGAGAAAGGCTTATATTCTGACCTGATCCTGTACAAGTTAGAATCAAGCTAAGAACCAACCCCACCAAAATGCTAAAGATTATAGTTCTTAGACCCTAGAATATTAAAAGTCAGAACTGGAAGAGACCTTGGAACATGGACTGGTTGAGCTAGAAAGAACTTTAGAACACAGACTATCAGAGAAGGGTCTTAGAACGTAGAATATTGAAATACCTTGTTCTCACCTCTGTGAGGGAGGCAGAGATTATTTTACCCCATTCTACAAATGAGAAAAGGTGGAGGGCCATACCAAGCATGAGTGAATGTCACAGTGGGAAGAGACCCTTGAGCATAAAATGGTAAGAGCTAGATAGGGCCTTAAGAATCTAGTCCAACCATCTCATTTCTTGGGGTTGGGGAAAGTGAGGCCCAGAGAGTAGAAGTGATTAGTCCAAAGTCACACTGAGGATTACAGCACAGTTGGTACTAGTTACCAGAAACCTGTGTCTCTGGACACTTACCCTTTGCTCTTCTTGCAGCTGGCGTGGCCTGGTAAACCATGCCAAATGCAGAACAGAGGCAAGGGTCTTGAAGAAAATAATCTGTCTGGGAAGGAACTTTAACAGGAAATAATCCTTTATTATAAAAGTCTGCATGTAAACAAATAACAAATTCATCAAACAGCCTAAATGGAAGTGCAATGTTAACTTACTGCATAAAACAGTCAACTAAGTCTCCCCCCTCCCTCCCCATTTACTTTCTCCCACTGGGATGTGGTTTGGACTGTCCCCACAGGGGTCTGAAACAAGTACGGGCCTGCGTACCCAGGTCCTAGGGCCTCTCTCAAGGGGTGATTTGGGGCAGTGCAGTCATGTACGATGAGCCACCCTCTCCATGTCCATCTGTAGTACTCAGTGCCCCAGCTAGGCCAGAGGGGCAGGCCCCTTGGCTGGGGGGAGACCCCCAGGGGCAAGGGTTGGAGCTCCAGCTGCTTTTGGCCTCCAGTCTCCCATAGCAGCCACTCCAGCCTTGCTTCCCAGAATCACTGATGAGTCTTAAGGCATCATGGATTTCAAGCTGTCATGGATTTTCGAGTTGTCCAATTCCCTCATTTTGTAGATGAAGAAACTGAGTCCCAGATTGGGGCAGTAACTTTTCCAAGATCACACAGTTAGTGGCAGAGTCCTAGGATTTGAACCCAGGTCCGAGGATTTCAAATCTAGCACTCATTCCACTATACCATGGATAGGGGCCCTGTGCCTATCAAGAATACCTCTATGCCACCCCTTGGGGTGCTCCCCTTCCCCCCTCCCCCATAGTACTTCTGCCTAGAGCACAGAGAGGTCGTGGCAGGATTTGGATTTGGCCTTGAAAGCCATCTTTTTGTTGTTCTTGGCCACAATTCGGCCCAGGAAGCGCTTTGCCTTCTTGCCAATGCTCTCTCGCCTCTTGGTGTTGGCCATCCGCCGGGCATTGTCTTCTTTGCTGTCCTTCCGGAGCCGGATCTGCCGGACGATGCCCTCAAAGAGGTCCTGTACATTGTGGTGAAGGGCAGCTGATGTCTCGATGAACTTGCAGTCAAACACAACGGCACAGGCACGGCCCTCTGTAGATCCAAGAGGAAGGAAAGAAGTGATGAGGGAGGAGGGACCAGAGGAAAGGCTGTGGTGGAGGTGGGGGGGGTGAGGGGGCCAGGGACTCCGCCAGAGACTTCTTACTGAACAAGCCTAGTCCATCGCCCTGATCACCAGCCCTAGCCTGTGTAACTTTGGGCAGATCCCTTCCCTTTTACCTCAGTCTCCTTATCCACAAATGGGAGGATTCAAATAGATCTCCAAGGTATAGAATCAGTCAGTCAATAAGCATTCATTAAGTGCCTACTATGTACCAGACATTATGCTAAGTGCTTTAAGGGATAAAGAAAGAGAAAAGATTATCCCTGCTGTCAAGGAGTTCACAGTCTAACAGGGGAGACAAACTACATGAAGAAGAAATAGGAAATAATTAACCAAGGGAAGGCACTAGACTAAGAGGGATTGGGAAAGGCTTCCTGTAAGATGTTACAGCAGGAGGGAAACTTAGAAAATAAAACATATGGAGAGACGGGATCTTAGTGACCAATGGAGTGAGTGACCATTTAGTCCCACTCCATTTTATAGATGAGGAAACTAAGGCTGAGAGAGGTAAGACAGTCTTGTAGCTCTGATCCGTTGTTTGTTCTAGTATTCTGTTTCTCCAGCTCTGACAGCACGTATTCTGTTTCTAGCCTTGGTCAGACCACGTGAGCAGGCATAGCTTTGGGATCTTCATGAGAAACAAGGCCATTGGTGACTTCCCAAGAGACAACTCCCTCAGAAGAGTGTCATAGGGTTGGCATTACTTCTATTTCCCCTCTTCTTTCCCTCACCTCTGCTCAGACAGTTTAGATTGTAAGCTCCTGGAGAGCAGGGGCTGCCTTTTGCCTTTTGTTGTATCCCCAGCACTTGGCATAGTGCCTGGCACATGGCAGGTGCTTAAGAAATGTTTATAGATTGATTGAATAACCCAAAATGATTCTTTGTACTTGTATAGTATCTTACACTTTTCAGAACCATTCGCTGTGATGGGATCCTCAAACTATCCCCATGAAGGAGACAGGATTGTTTACTAAGTGACACAGACAGTTAAGAGTCAGGTCACTTGTTTCCAAGTCCACTGATAGTTTTCTTACACATGGAGTCATTATGTTGAGGTGAATGGTAAAGGGATGAAGGCGAGGAATGTCCTGGGCCTAGGGGTCTGCCCTGGCCCCATTCAGTCTAGGAAGCCTGGGCCACTTCAGAGGGGAATCCCTGGCTTCAAGGCCAAGAAGGCATAGAGAGGATTAGGAAAAGCAAGTCTTCCTTCCCCCAAGGTGATGTCAGGGATTGGAAGTTTCTTCTCACCTCTCAGCTGGAAGAAACTCTACCCTACTGAAAGCTAAATACCCCAGACTCTCTCTATCACACACAGCCTATGTCCTGGCTGACCCCAGAGGAGTACTTTCTACCTAAAGTTCCCAAAGGGGTGATGTCTCTGTCTCTTCTGGGGGAGTGGGGTGGCCGGGATGAGACAGACGGATTCTGCTTTGAGTTTCAAATAAATACTTCAATGGCTTCTGTGGCTCCACTGCTCTATAACGAACAAGCTCCTGTCCTTTGAGTATTCTGTGCTGTGGACAGACTGAACTACTCCCCACTCCCTGTTGTTCTGACTTCTCCAGTCTCCGTACTTTTGTTCACTTGACCCTCAATGGTTGGAATAGGTTCCCCTCCCCTCCATTTCCATCTGTCAATGATCCTCCCTTCCTACAGGACCCAACTTAGACACCTTCTCTAGGAAGGCTTCCCTGACCATCCTACATCCAGGGGAAATCAAACTCTTGCTGCTCAAATTTCTCATAGCTTTGAAATTTGGAGTGGGGGGAGTTGTAGGACAGTCATTTCATCCCACAGAAAATGCAGAAGTTACCAAGTGCTCAAAGGAGCCCATAAGCACATTTCCCTCTCTGGTGGGTCCCACTGTTCCCCTGGGGTAAATTCCTTCTTGCTCAGAGCTACATTATGATTTGAACTCCAATTCTGGGCAATTTCTAGCTCTCCCAGAGGCTCTTTTACATAGTCCATCTCACACTAACAATGATTATTAATTGCTAATAATTGTTAATGAGAACTAATGATTATCAACAACTAGCACTTATATAATGCTTTAAAGTTTGCAAGGAATTGACATTTGTATGCCACTTGTGGTTGGGATGCTCCCTGGAAAGCAAAAACATTTGGGGACTGATGGCTTCCTTTCCCATTGGACCTGCTCTGAGTAACCTCTGGTAATAATGAGCAGGGGAGGTGGTGATGTCTTGAGCTCTCTCTCTCTCTCTCTCTCTCTCTCTCTCTCTCTCTCTCTCTGGTTCTCTGTCACTGTCTCTCTGTCTCATTGTCTATTTCTCTGTCTCTCTGGCACTCTCTGTTCATCTGTCTCTGTCTATATCTCTGTCTCTATTTCTCTGTTTCTGTCTGTCTCTCTCATTTATCTTATGTTATAATAGAAAGAGCACTAGAATAGACACTCAGAAGACTTGGGTCCAAGTCTTAGCAATGCTGCCATTTCCTAAATGCATGCATGACCTTGGGTAAGTAAAATGACTTCCTTTCTCAGAGTAGCCTTAAAAATAGAGATAATAAAATGTAAATAACCATACAGATACTAAGTATTTCCCAGAGCTGGTATGAAAAAGGGGATCTTATTATTGTCTCTCATTCTTTTGTTTTACAGATGTTTGTATACATGCCTTTCTTCCTGTTACACTGTATGTAAACTCCTTGAGAGCAGCTGAGTCTGTGTTATGTCTTTATACCTCCGAGCTCAGAGAATGACTACTGGCCTGTAACATCAGGGGACCTGGATTCAAATCTCACTTCTGATGCTTACTACCTATGAACCTTTGGGCAAATCACTTAACTGCCCTGGGCCTCAGTTTCCTCATCTGTAAAAGGAGAGAGTTGGATCAGATGACATCTGTGTTCTCTTCTAGCTCGACAACTGTATGACCTCTCAGAGGAAGCTGTCTCATCAGGCTTTCCAAACTAAACCAACCTCTGCTTTGTCCTCGCTCCCTCTCTTAGACCTATTCTCTCCTCCACTCAACCCCACCCCCACCTCCCAAGCCTTGCTCTGGCTTCCCCCAATCCCCACCAAGCCCTCAACCTCCCACAGAGCACTGTTCTGAACGGACGTGCCGAGAGAGGCAGCCTGACTGCAGCCAGCATTTTTCTGTCTTATATTTAGAAACTTGGCGGGTCCCTGGGGGGCGGGGAGGGTGGGGAGGAATAGAGGGGGGTGTCACTGTCTTTTAACCATGCAATTGCTGGGGTTTGAATCCCAGGTTTGGGGCCTCTCCTCCCAGGGGGGCAGGCTTACCATCCACAGAGACTTCTCTGGAGCGGACCAGGTCACTCTTGTTGCCCACGAGGATGATGGGGATATCCTCTGATTGGCGGGCACGCCGAAGCTGAATGCGCAGCTCTGAGGCCTTCTCAAAGCTGACTTTGTCAGTGACCGAGTACACAATTACATAGGCATCGCCCATCTTCATGCAGTGATTGGACAGCCACTGACTCTCATCCTAATAGGGGAGAAAATGCACCCTGTAGGTCACAGAAGCAACCCCCTGTCTGCCCTTGACCTGGCTGCTCCTTCCTGAGCTTCTGTTAGACCATGGAATTTCTCATAGGCAGCTGGGGGGGGGGGAGGATGAGCAGCTAGTTCTGTTTTTCTTTTCAAATATCAGCCTTATCTTATCCAATCAAAGAATGTTAGAACTGGAAGGGACCTTAGAACACAGAATGTTGGAACACAAAATGTCACAAGCTATAAGAGATAATACAACAAACACTTTTAAACCATCTGCTTTGTGCAAGCAATTTAACTAAGACCCAGTTCTTGAGCTCTAGTAGCTTAGAGACCACCCGTCTAGTCCAAGAGAAGAATTTAGGAGTCTTTGTTCTAGGCTGGCTCTATCCCCTTGCTATGTGACCTCAGGTAAATCACTTTCCCTCTCTGATCTTCAGTTTCCTCCTTTATACAATGGGGAAAATTTTACTTGTGCTACCTGTCCCAGGGTCCTGGCTAGGAACTATTACTATCTCACTTCTAGCTTTACAAAATATCATCTTTACAACAACTCTGAGGTAGGTAGTGCAAGCAGAATTATCCCTGTTTTATAGATGAGAAAACTGAGGATCAGAGAGGGGAAGAGACTTGGCTAGGGTGAGCCAGCCAAGTAAGTGGCAGAGCTGGGATTTGAACCCAGGGCTCCTGATTCCAAATCCAGAGCTCTCACACTTTGAAGTCATGTATTTTCTTTCCTTCTTTCTTTCTTTCTTTCTTTCTTTCTTTCTTTCTTTCTTTCTTTCTTTCTTTCTTTCTTTCTTTCTTTCTTTCTTTCTTTCTTTCTTTCTTTCTTTCTCTCTCTCTCTTTCTTAGGCAATTGGGGTTAAGTGACTTGCCCAGAGTCTCACAGCTACTAAGTATTATGTGTCTGAGGCTGGATTTGAACTCAGGTCCCTCTGGGTCCAGGGCCAGTGCTCTATCCATTGTATCACCTAGCTGCCCCTTGAAGTCATGTATATAAAAGTACTATGTGGTTTTAAAGCACTAAGGTATAAATCCATATAAATTATACAAGCTAGAAGTCACATGCCCTTTATTCTGCAGATGAGGAAACTGAGCTCCAAAGACAGTAAGTGAATCGTTCAGTGGCATGAGGCTAGGTAGTTCTTTTGCTTCTCTCTCGTCATCTTTCAAACACAGTCAGTATCATCAGTTTCAATCTCCGTAGAAAGCGCTGCTTAGGAATTTATTTTGGACAAAATGGAAGAGGAGGATCTTGGAGATCCCAAAGGGGAACTGGCTCACACCAGCAAACTACTCTTACTCCCTGATTCTAACCTGGAAATGTTTCAGCTTTGAAAACAAGCCTTCCCCCATTTCTTAGATTCAAATGCTTCTGGGGTGGGGTGGAGGAGGAGCATGAGGAGAGAAAGAAGGGAAGATGAAACATTTGAAACAACTCAGGATTCTATAAATCGGTATGGTTTAATGCAAAAAGTACTTGGCTTGAAGTTAGAAGTCCTGGGTTCAAATCTGCTACCTATGTGATACTTCTTTCTGGGCATCAATTTCCTCATCTATAAAATGAGGAAATGGGGTGGACTAGGTGAACTCAAAAGTCCTTCTAGTTCTAAAATCCTATGGTCCTAAGTCCAGGTCTCAGGGACATTATGACCATACCCATGGACATCCTTTGACGGCCTGGATAAGCATCATTCTACCAGCAGCCAAGAAGGTCCATCTGTCCCAGTAAATCTCCTTTTTATTACCTTATTACCCAAACATTGGGCCTTCCACTCTTGGTTTGGAGTCTTACCTGTTCCCAGATGTCAAACACCACAAGGGAAGCCTCTTCTCCATCCACCACAATGGATCGGTCATAGGTATTCCCTAGGGAAAAGACATGCCCCGAGAACAAGGTCATTGCAGGACCTCATAGAGAGAGAGAAAAGCAGTGTGCGGTAGGCATCGTGGGTGCAGTACAAGACCCCTGACCTCTCTCTGTCCCTGTCTCCCACCAATTCCTGTGCGAAATGGTTCCTTAATCTCCCTTCTCTTTTCTCCCTCTTCTCCCTTGTGTTTTCAATTATAGCAAGACCTGCAACCAATACACACACATGCACACATACACACACACGCGCACACACACACACACACACACACACACACACAATCATAGCCAGCCTCCTAGCCTCCTCCTCATCTCTATTTCTTGTTATAAATTAGCCCACTTTGAGGGCAGCCACTCTCTTTGTCTTTGAACCGACCCCCCCCCCCCATGCCTAGCAAATGGTAGGTACTTAAAAAACGCCTATTGGATTGGATGAGTTCCCTAACCTCCTTATCTGTCCCCTTGTTTCCAATTACAGCAGTGCCCTTAACCTCTTTATCCATCTCTGTTTTCCATTATTGCTAGATCTCTAAACTCCTTATCTATTCCTGTTTTCTGTTATAGCTGAATTCCTAAACTCCCTATCCAACTCCCCATCCCTCTGTTGCTTATTATAGCTGGACCCCTAACCTCCCATCTACCCATCTGTTTTCTATTTCACTTGGACCCCTAACCTCCCCCCATCCCCTTCCTTATTGTTCCCACGGTCCTTGCCACTGTTACTGATGATACATGGTGTCACATGCAAGTAACGTAAATACACTCTGTGTCGTATGAAGCCCAGCAGCTTTTCACTGTTCCAGTGTGACACATAGTGAGTGATACGAGGTCTCAGCCCCCACTTCTCCCTAGGACAATGGAACCCCTGCTTATTTGGCTAATAATACCCTCATGTCCCTATTCAGCCAGGCAGGGTCCAGAAGGTGGGAAGACCCATTGCTGTCTCTGCTTTACAGACCAAGATGTTCCTGGGATTTCAGAATTATTCCTTCTGCTGTGGCCTACTGAGGCCCTAAGAAGAAAGCATAGGATTGAGAGCTAGAAGGTACTTCAGAAGTCTGGGTCTAACACCTTCAGTTTACAGATGAGGAAATCGAGGCCCAGAAAAGTTAAGTGACTTGCTCAGGGCCCATAAAGCTATTAAGTATCTAAGACATGATTTGAACTCAGGTCTTCTTGACACCAAGTCTAGGAGTATTCTACCCAATATGCTAAGCTGGCTCTGGCCTGGCCTAGCCTGGCCTGGAAGATTAGTTCATAGACTGAGGGATCCCATAAAGCATAAAGAAAAAGTTGCACTTGCCCAAGTGGTAGAGAGCTGCTGTTGTTCAATCATCAGGTCTGACTTTCTGTGACCCCATTTGGGGTTTTCTTAGCAAAGGCACTGGAGTGGTTTGCCATTTCCTTCTCCAGCTCATTTTATAGATGAGGAAACTGAGGCAAATAGGATTAAGTGACTTGTCCAGGGTCACACAGCTAGTAAATGTCTGAGGCTGGATTTCAGCTCGGGAAGATAAGTCTTCCTGATGACAGGCCTAGCCCTCTATCCACCATGTCACATAGCTGCCCAGTACAGAGTATAGGCTGGTCTAAACTTAGGGGATATTGTCCCTATACTTCCTGAAAGCTACCTCCCCTTCCCCAATATCTAGAGAGTCACAGCTACTAACCTGTACTAGGCTGAGCTGGCTGGACCTACACTACCCACAGCCCTTTCTACCAAATCCTATCCGCCAATAGCCAGTACTCTGAACTCAGATTGACACCTGGTGTAGTAGCCTTTAGGGAAGAGGTCCCTGGTCAGAAATGGAGACTTAACCTGCTAAAGTTACCCAGGAAGCCGCTGGAAGGCAGCTCCCTGCAATCCACGGACCCCTTTTAAAAGGTACAGTGGAAAGATCTAGCAGTCAGTCAACAAGCCTTTATTAAGAATAACAGATTTGGAGTCAGAAGACCTCAGCTGAAAACTTGTCTCTACCCTTCCTGTCATTAGGAGCTTGGACAATCACCTTTTCCTCCCTGGGCCTCAGTTTCTTGATATGTCAAAGGAGAGGGTTAGACTAGATAATCTCTGAAGTCTCTATGGTGTTGTTGGTCCTTCATTCTCTTTTTCTTTTTTTGCTAGGCAATGGGGTTAAGTGACTTGCCCAGGGTCACACAGCTAGTAAGTGTTATGTGTCTGAGGCTGGATTTGAACTCAGGTCCTCCTGATTCCAGGGCTGGTGCTCTATCCATCGTGCCATGTAGCTGCCCCATGGTCCTTTATTCTCAAAGAGTTCTCTATGAGTTCTAAATCCTATGACCCCAGATTCCAAAGTGGGAGTTCATGAGCTCATCAACACCACCTTGGACATCACTATCACCTCCAGCCCCAAAGCCTGGATCTGCAGACACCTGGGAGTAGGGTGGGTTTTGTCACTCCCCAGTCACTTCAAGAAGGTTAGGGATGCTTCCCCCCCTCCTCATCCTCTCCCACAGCCTCAGCATTCCTAACAGATAGATGGACAGACAGATGGACAAACTCATACAAGTCCTTCCACAAGCCTAGGAGTTTATATTCTTGCTGTTTCTTCTCTCTCCTGAAAAGTCCAGAATATCACACCCAGGAGTGACCTAAAACCTGTCTAGAGACTAGATTCTAGGCCCACTTCCTCCGTTTAGAGAGTAGAAACTCAGGACCAGAGAAAAGAAGTTATTTGTCAAAAGTCATTCAGTAAATTCATTGCTGAGATGGGATTCAAATCCTAGTTTTCCCCGA